AACCCAGGCTGGAGTACAGTGGCACGATCTTGGCTCACTGCAACCTCTGCCTCCCGGGGTTCAAGCAATTCTTGTGCCTCAGCCTCCTGAGTAGCTAGGATTACAGGTGTGCATCACCACTCTAGCTAGTTTTTGTATTTTTAGTAGAGATGGGGTTTCACCACGTTGCCCAGGCTGGTCTTGAACTTCTGACTTCAAGTGATCCGCCCTCCTCGGCCTCTCAAAGTGTTGGGATTACAGGTGTGAGCCACCGTGCTTGGCTGTATTCTAAATACTTTTTATACACACTGACAAGTTGTCCTCTGAACTCTTGCATCTGTTTGTATTTCACCAAAACTTTAAAAAATGTTTTCAAAAATTTTATTTTTGTTGTTCTGCTAAGCAAAAAAGTAGTCTCCGGCTTTGTAGCTGTCTAGTCTCGGCTATGAAAAGCTTTGGGTGAGGGCTTTGAGAAAAATCAGAGGAACAAGTTTAGAGCCTCCTACTGCTTTATGGGAACAGGCAGCGGGGTGCAGCTCAGAATTCAGGGGAGGGCAAGGTCTGGAGACCGCGGGACTTCACAGGGCCAGGTCTGCCCAGCATGGGCAGTGGCCATCTGGTGCCAGGTTGGGTTCCAAGCCATTGACAGAATTACCTCAGTGAATTTCTGGACAGCCCTGTGGGACTGGTCCTGTCTGTTACTATTCTCTCCTCAAAAGACCAGGAACAAAGAAGTGGAGTGGCCAAGGGGCTCGCCCAGGAGACACAAAGAGGAGGCGGACCTGAGGCTAAGCTCGCTGGCATCGTGCTGTAGAACTGAACAGCACGCCCCTAGATCTTGGGAGGCTGAGATGATGATCCCTGCGGTTTTGGGACTGTATCTAGGCTTTTTGCTGGTTTGATTTCAGGAAAACATCTGTCTTGTTGGTCTCTGAGATATCCATAGAATTTGTTTTCTGTTCATTTCTTGCCAAAGGAGTCCAGGTCAGCTGCACCTGCCTGAGTGGGACCCCAGGTGTGATCGGGGATGTTGATGCCTCTGTTGGGGGTGTCTGTGTGCCCGCATTGATGGGGAGCGGGAGGGGTGCTGGATGCTCTGCGTTCCCCCACTTGGACGTCTCTGGGCTTCCGTGTGCAGCATTACCTGGCTTGTGGCAGAAAAAGCCTTTAAGGGTGCCCTGTATGGGGTGTCTGGGTTTCCCCACCCACCTCCCATCTGACGAGACCGCTTCCCTCTCTGAGCCCCAATTTACTCACTTCTGAAGCAAATTGGAGCACCTTCTTACTCATAGTTGCAGCCCATTTTTCCTGAAATAACAGACCTCTCTCACCTGTCTCCGTAGTATATGACGTAACCCTTAGTATATGACGTAACCCTTACACACACGGAAGGGTTATATCAACTATAAAATAATTATAATCCGAGTCTCTTCCCCCTGTCGAATAGGCTCTTTAAAAAAGAGCGGGTATGATTGAGAATTCCTAAAGTCACTCATTAACTGGTTCTTTCAAGTAAATCATAGCAGCCATGATCGTCACAGTGCTGATGTCACCGGCACCTCCGTGTTGGAGGGCAGGGCACTCTTTGTAGGCTGAACGATGCCTACCTTGCCCTGACTGTAGGGTGGTCTCACTGGCCCCCATGGAAGCTTGTCCTGATGCTGGTTAGTGGCATTGTGTCCTCTGGTGACCTGAAGCACATGATACGGTGTAGACCCGCCCAAGGTGGTAAGGTGGGCCAGTAGTTATGATTGACTTGCTGTTTATGATTAAACCTGTGGGACAGCTGTCATTGTTCCCTCTCAGTGGTGTTTGTGCCGTGCAGACTGGCAGGGAAGGAAACTTCAAAATGACACTTGTTTTGTTATTTTCAGGTTCCAGGGAGTTCCACGCTGTCCACTTCTCTCTGCCGTGATAAACCTGTGGGGTGAGTTTCTGTGTGGGTCATGCATCCCTGTGTCTCTGGCTGTAGGTCAGCTCTCCACAGAGAAAACGTGGGCATGGCGTCATTTTATTCTGCAGAAATCATAATTTCTGTTTTGGTTGTAAACATTGCCAATCAAAGGTGATACAGGTCAAATTTTCTTTTTTCTTTCTTTTTTTATTGAGACATAGTCTTGCTGTATCACTCAGGCTGGAGTGCAGTGGTGTGATCTCAGCTCACTGCAACCTCTGCCTCCCGGATTCAAGCAATTCTTTGCTTCAGCTTCGCGAGTAGTGGGGATTACAGGCACCCACCACCATGGCCGGCTTATTTTTGCATTTCTAGTAGAGATGGGATTTCACTGTCTTGCACAGGCTGATCTTGAACTTCACAGGTCAGGTTTTCTATCCGTTTTCTAAATGTTCTGTCAGGGTCAGAGCCCCGAGCCAGTGCCCCGAGCCAGCCAGTGTCTTCTGGAGAGGCCCTCACTGTGGAGCCTCATGACCGTGGGTAGATCTTTATTTCCGTTTTAACAATGTTGAAAACATTTGAATTGGACTTAAATTCATGTCGGATGAATAAGATAGAGGAAAAAGAAATCCTTGGGAATTGTTTGGATGCTGATTTGAACAAATCAACCTTAAAAAATAAATGTATCAGCCTGTTGTGGTGGCCCACTCCTGTAATCCCAGCACTTTGGGAGGCTGAGGTGGGCAGATCACAAGGTCAGGAGATTAAGACCATCCTGGCTAACATGGTACAACCCCATCTCTATTAAAAATACAAAAATTAGCTGGGCGTGGTGGCATGCACCTGTAACAGCTACTCGGGAGGCTGAGGCAGGGTAATTGCTTCCACCCAGGAGGCGGAGATTGCAGTGAGCTGAGATTGCACCACTGCATTTCAGTCTGGTAACAGAGAGAGACTCTGTCTCAATAAATAAATAATAATAAATTTAAAAAGCATAGTATTGGATGTTTGATGTTACTATTTCTTTTTGAGTTGTGATAATGGCATTGTAGACATTTTAATTAAAAAGTGTCCTTTTGGAAATTAATGCTACAGGATTTATAAATGACATTACATAATATCTGGGATTGCTTTAGAGCAACAAAAGTAATGGAGAAGATCCCTGGGGGTTTTGATGGACAAAGGTTGGCCGTGTGTTGGTAATTTTTAAGTTGGGTGATGGACACATGGAGGTTTGCAAAATGGTTTTATATGGTTTTGAATTTTTCTAAAATTTAAAAAAGGAGAGAAACACATGGGAGTAGTAAAAATGAAAACCCCAAAGCTGGTTGGTGGCAGCGCTGTGGAGGGACTGAAGCACACATCCTGTGCACCTGCACCTCTGGCTTCCCCTCATGGGGCCACCGATTGGGTACGACCCCATCCCCTCTCCCTGGATCCATTTCCACTTCCTCCTGGATACCACCCTCAACCCTAATGTTAGGAGTCCTCCTGGGAGGGGCTCAGGCCTCCCAGGGACCCTCAGGGCTGGTGGAGAAGCTGTGGTCTATGGGAGGCCCTTATCTCCGAGTCACCCTGGGTGCCTGGCTCCCACACTGCCAGTCTTCCCCAAGTCCTCAGCCTGCTGGCCATGATGTGGCCATTTCTGCCCTCTTCCCTCCTCCGCAGTCTTCACCTCACATGTGGGTGCCTTCCCTGGCCACCTGTGCACATGGTCGGGTGACCAGCCGCACATTCTACCCTGCATCCACCTGGCCTGGGGTTAGGTGAGGTTAGCCCCGCCGAGCTCTTAGCCTTCTGATGGGAACCCACTGAGATGCTCCTCAGTAGAAGAAAGGCCGCTTTGATTATGCGGCTGCTGAATTCCTCCCCAGCTTGTCCCCTCTCCTGGGTGATGTCCTGCCTCCTCCTTGGGCCTGCAGGGTCCTCTGTGACCATAGTTGGCCAGCTCACCAGCCTCATCTTTGGCCGCACCTGCCCCAGGATGCTGCACACAGACAGGAGGAGCTACTCCTGCTTCCTCCCGGCTGCCTCAGGCCAACCTTGACACCTTGGAATGGGGTTGAGGCTCCCCTTCCTGGAGTCCCGCCTGGGACAGTACTCCTGCTCCCAGTGAAACCACGAAAAGTCCCTCCTGCCCTCATGCTTTTGCATCTGAGCCCATGGGTCACTGCTCTGAGCTGCTTTCTCTCTGTGCATTCCCTGCCCGCAGCTCACAGTACCCAGTCATGCCCTGCTAGGAAAATTCGATCTTGTGCCCCTCCCTGCACTGCCCGCTGTTATGGGAACACAGCGCAGAGATGGCACACACTGTAAATTCCCACCACGGGCTGCCCAGGTGCTGGTGTGAACACCTGGAGGATGTGTCCATCGTCCTCTCCCTTTTCCAGAGGACGAATGTCTGTTGCCTCCTTACCCCGTTTCTGACCTGCCCACTGCTCTCTTGCAGGCCCGTCGTCCTGAGCCCCACCATGGAGGAGGGCCACGGGCTGGACCTCACCTACATCACGGAGCGCATCATCGCCGTGTCATTCCCCGCCAGCTGCTCCGAGGAGTCCTACCTGCACAACCTGCAGGAGGTCACGCGCATGCTCAAGTCCAAGCACGGGGACAACTACCTGGTGAGCGGTGGGCGGCTCCGGGAGCCTTCGGGCAGGCTGTGCAGCAGGCACTCGGAAGGGACAGGCACCCACAGAGCCCTGGCTTACACACGAGGGAGAAGCTGGAGAGCCTGGGTTCATACAGCAGCCCAGGGCGCCCTGGTCCTCTGTCTCTCTGCTGTTATGCCTGGAGAGGAGCCTCATGTATCTCTGTAGGCAGCTTTCAGGGATGCGCGACAGCTGACCGCAGGGATGAGCGCTGCCTTGTCCCGCACTTATCAGTGAGGCTGGCTCCCCAGTGCCTGGGGACATGTCCCCAGCCAGCCACCCCTGCGCTCCCATGCTGCCTCCCTGATATCAAAAGGCAAACTGTGACTCTCCTCCTCAGCAAGAAATTAGGAAGACACATTAGGTGGGTGCCCAAGAAACCAGGGGCTGCCCTGAGGGCAAGGAGACAGGTCGATTTTCAAAACACACGTGTCAAGTTGTTGGTGGAGCCCACAGCTGAGGAAGAATACAGAGCAGCCTCTCACCATCTCTTGCCCTCCGATTGGCCCCTTGTTTTCTGTTCCCATGGTTGCTAGCCCCAGCAGAGGCTGGCTTCTTCTGCTGTCAGCGGTCCCTGATGGGGTTGAATGACAGCTCCTTGGCACCTTCTCTTACCTGCCTCCTTATCTATGGTAAAGCTAATCTGCCCCGCAAGCCTACAAGGGAGTCATTGTCTTCTTTGCGGGTCTGCTCCAATGATTGGGGCACCACTGGCTGTGAGAAGTGTACCCAGTGGCAGAGTAGGATGTGGCCCCCATCTGATGCGAGAGCAGCCCTGGCCAGGTGCTTCCTGCGTCCTGACCCCTCACCTCCTGACCCTTCATTCACTCAGGCTCCTGCTCTTTCTCCCCTTGAAGCCCATCTTACTGTGACCTGGCCGTAGACAAGCCTCCGTCCTCACGTCTCTGACTCTGAAGTTAGAGGGACGTCTAGTTAATTTTTAAGGCTCTGTGCTGCTGGAACATTATTATTATTTTTTCCATTTTGCTCTACTTGAGTATTTAGGGAGGTTCCACAAACAGCTGTGATTTTTCAGTGAACTTAGGACGTGGCTCTTGGCTGGGCATGAACTCAGCCGTTTCCAGGCCTGAGCCTACTGGGCCAAAAAGGAGGGACTGCCCTCCTCACCATGTGCTATCTCTCTGTTGGGTCAGTTTGTGTTGCCAGGAGCAAGACCAGGGAAGCTATTTTATACACACGCACACACACACACACACACACACACACATATGTATATGTATACATATATATGTATACATATACATATGTGTGTGTGTGTGTGTGTACATATATATGTGTATATGTATATATCCTGTATGTTGGGATGTTTTGTAGCCATGAGAATAAAAAAATGGTAACATGATAAATTGCCTGGTTTAATACTGTTGAACGAAGTAGAATATAGACTTTATGTGTAAGGGCTCTGTATGCCATCCCTAACTTATTTTATTTGCTTTCTATTCTGTGACAACACACGTCTGTACTTTTCAATCTTTTCTGATCCTCGGTACCTGGAAGGCAAATGTCGTGTCAAAATGCAATGAATGGCGTCTTCTCCTTTCGTCTATGATGTCAGTGATTTGTCTAAAAGCTTTTTGCCCCCTGATTCTTGAGTGTAAAGATTTTAAGTATTTTTTTTAAAAGTTAAAGTATTCATTTTTTAAAATATTAAAATCTATTTTATACAAGGCATTTTTCTCCTTTATAGGTGTTAAACCTTTCAGAAAAGAGATATGACCTTACGAAGCTTAACCCAAAGGTATGGAGTTCATCTTTTTATAGTCTGCATTTTGTAAAATGTAAACAGTGCTTATTTTGTGCAAAAATAATTTGCTACTAGTCTTTGTGGACTGTGACTTGATAAGGGTACTAGGAATTGTTCATATCAATTTTTTAATTGCTTTTTCTTTAGTTTGAAATAGAGATTCATAGGAAGTTGTGAAAATAATACAGAGATCTCCCGTACTCCTCACCCAGTCCTTCCAGTGGGAGAATCTTACAACACTAATAATAAAATACCTAGGCCAGGAAGTTGGAGCCGGTACAGCCTGTGGACCTCACTCACATGTCCCTGGTTTTTGGGTACATGTGTGTTTCTAGGCATCATGTGTATAGATGATATATACTGTGTATATGTATGTATAGAACAAATTATACACATGACGCTTCCTCCTCCCACCTCCTGGGATCTTTCATATGTAATGCATATTTGTATATATTTTTAATTACTTTTTTTTAGTTTGAAATAGAGATTCACCGTGGGTGGTGCCTTATTTCTGTTCGGACGGTGTTGAAAACATTTGAATTGGACTTAAATTCATATCAGATGAATAAGATAGAGGAAAAAGAAATCCTTGGGAATTGTTTGGATGCTGATTTGAACAAATTAACCTTAAAAATAAATGTATCGGCCGGGCATGGTGGCTCACTCCTGTAATCCCAGCTTATTTATATATATATATATATATATATATATATATATATATATATATATAAATAAAATATATGTGTGTGTGTGTCCTATGTATGTACATATATATATCCTGTGTGTGTGTGTGTGTGTGTGTGTGTGTACAGCTAGTGCTCGACTTACGACCACAGTCGGGACCGTGGACCGGTCATAACATGATTTGGTCGTAAGTTGAGTAGGCTATATGTACAGTTGAAATGGTGCACGCGTAGATGGTAGTGCCACTGGAAGCTGGTCCGCACTGTCGTACGCCCAGCTGGGCAACGTTTGCGCTGCCAGATGCGGAGCAGTCGTGGCTAGCGATTGTGGTCGTAAAGTTGAATGGTCGTAAGTTGCATTGGCGGTAAGTTGATCAATATCAATATATATATGTATTCTATAGATTTACTATAACAGAGAACAAATCTAAACTGCATTATATTTATGGATTTGTTCAACCACCACAGGTAAGAGAGAAAACATTTTCATCAGCACGGGGGTCTCTTCTCCTAGTATCTCTTCTTTATGGTCATAGTCATTCATTCACTCTTTCCATGATCTTTTTTTTTTTTTTTTGAATTTTACTTTAAGTTCTGGGATACATGTGCAGAACGTGCAGGTTTGTTACATAGGTATACATGTGCCATGGTGGTTTGCTGCACCTATCAACCTGTCATTTGGTTTTAAGCCCCTCATGGGTTAGGTGTTTGTCCTAATTCTATCCCTCCCCTTCCCCCATCCCCCATGATCATTTTCAATAACAAAATTTGGGAGAATAATTTTAAGACTTGAGTCAACATAGGTTATGGTACATATATGTATGTATATTCTATGTGTTGAAATATTTTGTAGTCGTTAGAGTAAAAAAGCAGAATCATGATAAGTTGCCCATTTCAATACTAGTTAACAGTAGTAGAGTATAGAATTTATAATGATAGTATCTCAGTTATGCTAAATGTACATAGAAAGGGATTCATGAAAAGGTTGTAGTGGTTGGTTATCTTTGACTGGTGGCAGGGGTAGTGACTTTTCCTACTTCCTGGCAGTGTTCTGAAATTTCCAAAGATTTTACACTGTTTCTGCGACTGTCATCATAAGATAGAGCTCCTTTTCCTCCCCCTACTGGCAAAAGGAAATCAAAGGAAAAGCAACGCCCCCATGTGGCCACTGTGGGCCACTGTGGACTTGCGTGTGCCTCAGAACGCTCAGAGCTGCAGTTCTGCACAGATCCGCTGTGTCCTTAGCACATGGTGGTGATTTTCTTTGTCCATGCACTAAAATTAATCAGGGGTTTGAAGGTGCTTCCTCCTTTAGTCCTGCCTTTCCAGGAGTTTGCCTCTGCACAGCATGTGGGAGATGGCTGGCTGCACTCTCCAAATTGGTATTTTAACCTGAGTGGGGGGATTGCAGCTGGGGGCTAGGACTCCTGTTTGAGATCTCACTGGACTGCAGCCCCCTTCACACAACCTGTACCATCAGCAGCTCCCCAAAGACCTTTTTAGAATTGTCGCCCCAGCTGTGGAAGAGCAGATGAGCCCCTGGAAGAAGAGGCATCACATGGGCAGTGTAATGCTTTATTTTTTTCTTCCCAGTGAAAGATGCTCACTGAGTTTTAGGAAAGGGTCATGCAGCATGTTCTTTACTCCCAAATGAAATATACTGATGACGAAATAAGTCATTGTGAAATGGCCTCAGATGTTTCAGGAAATGGAAACTGAGGAAGCTCCCCTCTCTTGTTGCAGATCATGGATGTGGGCTGGCCGGAGCTCCACGCACCACCCCTGGATAAGATGTGTACCATATGCAAGGCGCAGGAGTCCTGGCTGAACAGCGACCCCCAGCACGTGGTTGTCATTCACTGCAGGGTGAGCGTGCCCACCTCTCACTCTCGGGGGTCTGGCGGGGTGTCAGCCCTTGGAGTGGAGATGGAGACCAGTGCTGCCTCTGAGTACATTTCCACTTTGAGCCGGTGTGACGTGCTTCTCGTGGGTTTGTCTTTAGGTTTTCCTAGTTGCTCATAAAGAAGCAAACAAAGGGGTAACATTATAATATTTGTGAGAAGTTGGGGTCTCCATGGGCATTGTGATCCAGGTAGTGGATTAGGAGGCCAGAAGGAGATCCCTTCCAGGGTGCTAGCTGAGATGGGTCTGCTCAGGGCCCAACAGCTGGCTGCAGAGCTGGAGGTGGAGATGATGGCCGATATGTACAACAGAATGACCAGTGCCTGCCACCGGAGGTGTGTGCCTCCTCACTACAAGGAAGCAGAGCTGTCCAAGGGCGAGTCGGTGCCTGGACCGATGTGTGTCATCCATGAGCAGGTGGGCAGAAAGTTGACAGAGTTGTCTGTGCAGGATGAAGAGCTGATGAAGAGGGAGCAGCAGAGCTCTGGGCCCGCGTGAGATCCCAGTCAGTATACACCCTGGGCTACACCCCACCCCTCCCCACTTGAATAAAAGTGCCCCCTGTTGAGTGTCATTTGCGAAGACCGCCAGGCCCAGGCTTTTGGTGGAGAGTCTTCAAGATCCCAGAGTGGTGCATTCTCCTGGTGAAGGAGTATTTGTCATACTGGAATGTGACTGTGTGTGTATGTATGTGTATATATATATATTAAAACAACTTTGTTGACACCTACCAAAAAAAAAAAAAAAAAAAAAAGCAAAGAGTTACCATACTTCCTCAAATCTGGCTTTAGAATTTATAGGATTGGGGTCCCTGCATGTGTAGCTGGACATTTGGAACTACTGACCACGGTTAGGAGAGCAAATCCTTTCATTTTTATTGAATTGTATTTTCTGTGGAAAACCGTCCTTTTCAGAAGAGCAGTGCACTTTTCAGATGGACTGTGCCAGACTTTCCATGCCGTCTGAGTTACGGTAGTCAGTTAATGGACTAGATGGTGGCACGATGCCATTGCAGTGAACACATGGTTCTTTCCACGCAGAGCCATCACAGTGCAGATGTGGCCTGTGCATCTTCACAGAGTGTCCGGGACTGCCTGTGTGTCAGCCCTGCCAGGCCCTGTGGGTGCCGGCACCCAGGTGGATGCTGGCGGGCACTCCTCCTCCTGGCTGCTGCGGGGTCCTTCCATGCCTCCTCCTCCCACCTCCTGGGATCTTTCCTCGTAATTCCCAGTTTTCTCAGCTGCTTTGTACTGCTCCTGAAATGTGATTGGTGTTGAAAAGCGTTGGACTGAAAGCAAACTTACTGAGGGCACCTCCCACCAGAAACTTACTATTAGAGAAAAGCTCTTATCCCAGTCACACCTTGAGTCAGGGAGGAATCCTTTGGGAAAGGATGTCTCCAGTGGGCTGGGGTCTCTGTTCGTTAAGGGGCAGCTCCCTCTATTATAGGTTCGACAAAGCATTCTTAGGACCATAAAAGTATCTAGGAGGTGTTGACGGTTCAAGATAGAAGTTTTTTTTTTTTCTTCCAGACTCTTTCACACTAAAAGAACTGCACAGAAATGCATTGTATTATGGAATTTAGTTTGAAAGAAGCGTCCCTTTGGGTTATATTAGACTGTTAGTATATGTGTTCTGCAAAAGCACTAATGTCAGCTGGCTTGTGGGTGCTGTTTACAGCTGCAGGGCATTTGATGACCATTCGATGTGCAGGACACGTCCATCAGGGCACATAGATGTTCTTTGCTTCTCTCAGGTGTTATCTCTTTCCTCACATCTAACTTGGTCATATTATCTCCCCAGATGGATAGGTACACCCGTTAGGACTCTTTCCAAATTGTCTGTATTGACCTGATCTTTTCAAGTATTATGTTAAAATTATGGATCCTCCACCCGAATTGTGTTTTGGTGCGAACTAGAAGACAGAGAGAGAGACAGACAGACAAAGACTTTTAAATAATTACAATGCTTGTTAATTAAAACAAGCTATGCTTTTCAGGCTTGGTGTGGTGATTTGGGTACAGCGAGTCTGATACTGATGGGTCATCGTTGCCCAGGATCACACAGCAGGCTGCTCTAAGCAGCACTCCTGCCCTGCGGGCCGGGGCCCAGCAGCACCCCTGGACACCTGTGGAAAGTGCAGGTCCTAGGGTGCATCCAGACCTGCTGCCAGCACGTCGTCAGAACACTCTCGGAGTTGCTGGACTTGCAAAGAGCCACCCTTGGCCATTTATTCCATTTTAGTTGTTGTCCACTTCCATTTTTTGATGAAATTGAAAGAAATGATGAGATGACGTAAAACATGTGGGTCCCAGTGGGGACTGCCTAGAGCTTTCTAAAATGCACCCTTTCCCTAAGCAACTTTGGGCTTTCTGGACAGTTCTTGTTAGTGGAATTCATGGAAACATGTTGAAACTTCTCAGAAGTGATTTGCTAATTGCTTGCCCGCTTCTGGTACCAAGTAAACCATTTTTGAAACGCTTAGAAACTGTGCCCTGAGAGATAAGCCCTCTTTTAGTTTGAAATTGCTGATGTCCATGTTAACAGAAGTTCGTCATCATCACTGCGGGGGTGAAATCGCTGACACTTGCCGAAATCCGCCTACTTTGCAGAATACGCGTTTCCTTCCACACATGCCAGGAATTTCTAGCATAGCTGGGCCTGTCTCAGCCTGGGCGGGAACAGAGTGAGGGTCGGTTCTGCTGTGCTTCCTGTTCTGTTGTGTGAAGCAGAGGCTTGTGTTTGTGTGGGTGTATGCAGTCTCCTCCTCACCCCTCCACACCCTGGTTATTGATTGATCAGAAATGGTCTGCAGTTCTTTTGGGAGATTTCATCCACATCAACTTTCTGTTTCTGAGTCCATGAATACCCACAGCAAATTGTGCAATTAGTGATTCTATGATTTTTGTTAAGAACAGTTCCAAGTCCAAAAGAATGCTGCTTGCACTAAAATACAACAGCCCATGAGCTGATCGTGCCCTCTTCTGTTTTCTACAACCTGTGAGCTAAGAGCTGTATTTACAACATTGTATGAAGGTATCCTACTTCAGTTCCATACATAAAGTTTGAGTGGAACGTGGCTCATGTACATTCATGGCTGCTTCCCCCTACACTGCAGGGTCAGGTTTGAATAGTTGCAAGAAGACCTTGCAGCATGCAAAGCCTTAAATGCTTTCTATTGTGTTGAGAAAGACCTCATGTCAGGATGCTGCTGGCCTTGTAAAATGAGTTTGAAAGTGTTTGCATCTCTTCACCTTTCTGGCGGAGTTTGCATTAGTCTGTTTTCTGTTACGTATGACAGAAAACCTGAAACTGGGTAATTTACAAAGAAAAAATATTTATTTCTTATATTAATATTTATAGGGGCTGAGATGTCTAAGCTCAAGGGGCTGTGTCTGGTAAGAACCTTCTTGCTGTTGGGGACTCTGCAGAGCCCTGAGGCTGCACAGGGCATCCCATGGCAAGGGGGCTGAGGATGCTAGCTCAGGTCTCTCTTCCCCTTCTTAGAGAGCCACCAGTCCTGCTCTTGTGATAGCTCATTAACCTATTAGTTAATTAATCCACAGATGTATTAACCCATTCATGAAGGCAAGGTTCCTTATGACCTAATCATCTTTTAAAGGCCTCACCACGACTCAGTACTGCCACACTGGGGATTAGATTTCAACATGAGTTATGACAGGGGCCAATATTTAAACCTTAGCAAAGTTGTTTTTTTCTTTTTTTACCCTCCAATGTTTGATAGAATTAATCAGTTAAGTGAGCCGGTCCTGGGCTTTTCTTTGATGGAAGAGTTTTTATTATTGATTCAATCCCCTTACTTGTTATGGTTCTGTTCAGATTTTCTGTTTCTTCATGTTTCAGTCTTGGTAGGTTGTATGTGTCTAGGAATTTATGAGTTTATTCCAGGTTATCCAATTTATCTCCACGTAATTGTTCGTAGTTGTTGTTTTTTTTTTTTTTTTTTTTTTTTTTTTTGTG